AGCCTGGTGAACCGAATGGTAGCAGGAGGGAGGCAATTGCCCTGCACGCTCTCCGGCTGCAAAGGCATCGGGGGGGGGCGTGTAAGTCCTCTCGCGTTCGACTGGCTTTGCTCCTGTAGGTTTGTGAAGCCCCTAGGATGAACTCACAATGTGCTGGGGAATTGTTCATCTCGCGTGGGATAAAAGTTTAGAAGGAAATCTGTTTGGCTCTCCAATCGGGGTGTTTCGCATTTTGCATTGCATCTTTCTGTAGCTGTTACCCAAGGCAGCGAGCCCTCTGGGCTGCCGTTAGCCATCTGGCACGGGGTAGGTAAGGTGCACCCGGGAGTCTCCCAATTCCTGCACCCTGCCTGCTAATGGCAAAGGTGCTGGAGGGAAGCCGGGTGTTGAGAGCTCAGTTTTCAAGGGCAAAAATAATGTTAAGTGCAAAACTGTAATCTGGCAGCTGGGATGTGGGGTCGTACTTGGAGGAATGGTGGAAAATCTTGGTCTGGTCCAAGGTTTGGAAAACAGGAGAGGACGCTCTGGGGGGTGTGTGTGTGTGACAGGGTTTGGCTGTTCCTGACTGCAGCACATAAGGAAATGCACTTTTTTTGCTGGTGCATTCTCACTTCTGGCTGTGCTTTGATGTGGATGCCGATGCCATTGGGACGGGTGGGCAGGCTGTGGATGTCGGTGGGTGCTAGCAGGAGCAGGCAGAGCCTTGAGCTGCGCTCCGGGGGCAGGCGTTACCTGGAGCAGGACGAGTGGTCTCGGCTCCACCCGTGAGGAGGGGTCTGGGGGGACGCGTGCTTTGGGCTCCCATCCTGGTGGTGTCCTTCCAGCATCGCTCACCAGGTTCCTCCTCCTCAGGAACTCCCTTTGCCGGGGGCTCTGCGACGGCTCCTCCGCCGCCCTCCCGGGGTGGCGGCAGCTCGTCACGTTGTTTCGCCGCCGCAGGTTCTCCCGCGTCTCGTGCCGCCGCTCGCACTTCTCATCGTAGCTCTCGCGCCCGCGCCGCGGCCGTGCCCGCTCGGGCTGGCTGATCATGTTGGGCGCAGCTCTGTCCGCCGCTGACCGCTCCGTCCAGCCTGAGGTCCTCTGTCCTGATGAAACCAAGGGGAAAGACACGATGCGAATGAGAACGGGTAATTTCTAAGATTAAATGAATGTGCGGTATCGGATGCTGGTTCTGGAGCCCTCATGCAATGGATGCAAGTGGTGTTCCTGGGAAATCTGTTGGCTGTGAACTTGTATGTGTAGGCTGTGTAAAACACCGTGCTGTCTCGCTCCTCCGTCGGGTGGCGCTGGCCCAGCAGATATATATATTTATATATATATATATAAAATTTCAGATAATTAACGCAACCTCCTGAAGTTGGCCTCACTGCCAAGTAACGATGCTTCCACTGCTTCCTCTGGGAGAATCCCTTTCCTGATAAAATCCCTCTGTTATTCAGACTGTTTCTTTGGTGCGTGCTCTTAGGGCTCTTTTGCCAACCTAAAGAAAACCATGAAAACACAGGAAGAGCGATAGCTATTTCCACAGAAAATTCTTTTTAGAGTGCATTTCTCATTTCTCTTTTTGATGGGTCCAAATACAGTGGTGCTGTGGTGTGATTTACTCCTCAAGCAGTTGCATTCTATTTCTTGGTGGTAGCTGCCTTTTCTGTGTGCCCAGAGAGGTCTGGAGCAGCGAAAACCTTGCAGCGTTCTAGGGGCTGGGGGTTTTTTTCAATGGAGTATCTGGCCAAGTCCCTGTGGGTCTGAGCACGGTCTCTGAAGACCACAGCTCCTGTGTGCCGCTTTCTCTTGCTTCCTGGCTGCTCCCTCCCTCCCCAGCTCCTGGCTTGGATGCTGTGCAATGCTTTGCCCTCTGCTTGCCCACCTTTGCTTGACCTCCTGCAGCCCGGGGGCTGTGTGTTGGCCAAGCGGTGACTTGGTTCCTTCACCGAAATGCAAGCGTGGCGACTCATGGTTAGACTTCAGGATTAATTCATTGCTAAGCTGTGCTCAAGAACTGGGGGCACAGGCTCTCTATGGTACCAGTTTGCCTCGGGCACAAATTCTGTCTCCGTGTTGGGGCCACAGAGTCCCCAGACAAGGCAGTGGCCTGGCCGAAGGAGGAGCTCCTCTGCTTCGGCACTATTGCACCGCCTACACGCGCAAGCGGGGTGTAGATATGAAACCTCCCCCCTCCTGCCGACTTCTCTGCACAGTTGCAAGCCACCGGTGTGGTGTTTGTTACTGGACTTTGGTCGCATCGAGTGTGTTTGGGTTTTTGCCTTTGCATAAGCTGGGGAAAGCTGAGCAGTAACTGCCCTCCCCTGCCTTCCTCCCCTCCAGCGAAAGCTGTCCCCCTCTCCTGTCCCCTCGCCCCGTCAGCAGTGAAGGGGCTCATCTTCCCCCTGTACATCCCGTGAGCGATGCTCGGAGGGTGCCTGGCCCCGGGGGGCTCAGCCTGGGAGCTGCTGTGGCCACGCCTGGTGTGGGGCTTTTCTCATGTTTAGTAAATGATGTTAATGGAGGAAGGAGGAAAATAATTAATTATAGTCTCTGAAAACTCAGGTTAAATGTCCTTCAGTGTTGAAAAAAAACCCCACCAAAACTGCGTTGGTCTCATTCTATCTCAAGCAATTAGGAAGTTGTTGAGTCTAATGGAAAAAAAAATAGGAACAAGTAAACCCCATTTACATACATAATACTTCCGTGCTTTTTAGTCTGCATTAAAACCTGCTCTGTAATTCCTGTTGCTGTCCTTGCACTAGCTGTGGTGCACCCAAAGCTCATCGCTAGCGCCGTCTTTTCACCGTAGGAGCTTCCTTTGGAAGGAAAGCAGTGTTCTTGGGGTGGCCGGCTCTTGCTCTGGGCAGGGAAGGTGCCTGCAAACCCGCAGCCAGGGCACTGCTCCTGCCTGGGACGTAGGCTTTGAGACCCCCTTGGTACGGCACTTGCTGAAAGATTAGGCAGCGCTTGCTTCCCTGCCTTTATGAATTTTTATTTGAATATTCACTTCTTTGACTAGCTGCTGAAGCATCTCTAATTTTAGCTTGAATTTACTGAAGGATCCCAACAGTGTTTGCTGGTCAGGTGTTTCTCACTGTGATACGCTTTCAGCTGGAGGAGTCTGGGGTATAAAAGACCAAGCAGGTTATTCCCATCCAGCTTTCACGTCCAAACCATAGCAATCCTGCCGTGCTCACCTGGGCCTTTGCTCTTGGTGCACACGTGCTTCCCTTGGCCCAGGCAAGCCGAGGTTTGGCCAACAGCTTCACGCAGAGGAATGCAAGCTGGGCTTATGCCCACACCCAGCACCCTGCCCCCTTGAAGCCTGGGGCTGGGTACAAACCCCATAGCTCGGGACAGAGTGTGCATCTACAGCCAAGCCTGCTCCAAACTCTTCAGGGCACTTTAAAAGTATTTCTCAACTAATTTTTCTTAATCTTAGAAATGGCCCAATTGAGTGTTGAATCCAGGCCTCGGCTGTCCTGCTCGGTCCCAGCTCATCCCGTCAGGAATAGCTCAGCCCCTCTCCCACCTGCGTGGCCTCTGGGCTGCCCAGCCCGTGCATCCCAACAGCAGCTCTGGCAATAGCCTCTGTTTACCTTGCTTTAAAGCACATTTTTGGTTAAGCTTAAAGAAATACATGTTCCATTACTCACCCCGCGCTGAGCGTTGAGGCCTTCTTGACAAGCTAATACTCTATTTCCTCCTTCTGTTACCCCAAATTACTCTCTCTAATTACCAAACATGTCCTTCATCTTTGCTTTCCAAGCTGTTACGCTTCTTGCTTCAAGGGAAACAAAAAAAAAAAGTGCTTCTTGCCAGTTCATGTTACAGCCTCCTGGTGTCAAGCGTGTAGGCTGAAAATGGGGCGAAAAAAGCGGAAAAAAGGTGCATGCTGCTGCCTTTCGCGTGGCAGGCTCCGCTCCCCTCCATCCCTCGCTGGCCCCGGCGCCGTGGGCACTTACCTGGCCCAAGGGCTCCCGTCCTACCCCTACGCCGCAGAGGAGCGGGGCGTTATCGGGCGCCGACACGCTCCAACTGCCATCTTCGTGCCAACCACCTCATTTTGCTGCTCTCGCTCCCTTTCTCGCTCGGTAAAACAGGAAACGTTGCAGCCGCAGCTGAGCCCCGGTTCCTGTCTCTGCTCGCAGCCCGGCTGCGGGGCGTAGGGGCCCGGCTCGTGGCGGGGTCTGGGTTACCTCCGGACCCCAAAATCTCCAGCTTCCCTCTAAGCAGAGCTAGCTGTTATCTTTGGGGCCATCTCCCCTTATCAGTCTCCAACACGCGGAGGCTGAGCGCTGGTTCACGGAGCTGTGGCACTCGGTGACGGAGTCTCCCCGGGCTGATTTGGGGTAGAGAAATCCAGACTTAGGGAAGTACAGTAATGCTATTATTTTAAGGCTTCTTGCAGATTGGAAAGGAAAAAAAGTGTGTATTGGCATCTGAGGAGAGGTCACCAACTGCAGAAATTCATTAAGGTCTTTAGAGAAGTAAAAGCTGTGTTAATGCAAATCATGCAGGGAGGTCGTTTTAACCAGCTGGGTGCTGATAAGGGCTCTGTGTCTCTGCGTGTGGAAAGGGAACACAAGTAAAAGCAGACATCTCTTAAAGCAAGGTAGGGTTTATTTTTACAAAGGCCAGCCTAGAAGGGATACATGACAAAAAATTTCCCGGTTCGAAGACCCTCGCATGGCTTTGGGTGGTTTGTGCTGCTTGGCCCAAATCCTCATTCTGGGCCGTGGCTCGGCTCGCTTGCCGCAGTGCTCGGCGCCCCTGGCTTTCGGTGGGGGAACAGTTTCTGGAGGTTGAGCAGGAAACCTGCTGGTGAGCAGGATGCTGGCAGCAGATCTGCCACCAGGCGCTGCTCTGAAGTGCCTCTTGGTCGGAAAAAGCCAGTTGCAAGAGTTTATTGCTAAAAAGGACACCTTCATGCTGTGTGTTACAGGCTTCTGGTGCATCCCGTCTTGGGTTGCGAGGGTGCATCAGCATGGGGCCACCCTGGTGGCTTGGAAAAGGGCACCCAAGCAGCTGGATTAACACCCAAATCCCCCATGCCTGGCCCAGGGTGTCCTGGCATGCTTGCTGTCCCAGGGCCTAAGTTCTTCTGATGTTTTCCACGTTATACTTGCTCCTGATGAGGGAGTCAAGGAAGTCGGGGGCGATGTCCCGGAGGAGGAGCAGGCTGCCCATCGCCCAGGACGGGTAGTGCAGCTCCCGCCGGCGCAGCGCCCCGCTCTTGATGATCTCCAGTGCGCACTCCTCCTTCGGTGCCGGCGTGTCCTGGATGGCGTGCGAGACCGCTCGCACGGCGTTCTCTGGAGGGACGGGAGGAGCGGTGTTGGACGGAGGGGCTGCTACAAGCACCACCTGGGGTATCTGTAGCTTCCTCACTGACAAACTCTGGGGATCAGACCTGCTTAACTAGGCTTAGAATAGTTAAAATTAATAACAACTATAGCGATGTCCTTCCCGTTCCTTTCCACCTCTTGAATGACCGTAGGACGGAATCCCCGCCTCCCCTGGGTTTACTGCAAGGATAGCAGAGCCAAAGGCCTCGGGCCATGCTTCTAAAGAGTTGGGGTCCTGTTTCCACAACCACACAGCCGCTGCAGGCTGAGGGGGGAGCAGCGGTGGCGAAGCAGTGTGCTGGGGTGTGAGCGGTGGGCTCGGCTGGGCTCTGGCTGGAAAGGCACTGAGTCGCGGGGCCCCGGCAATGCTGGGCTTACCTGTGTCGATGTAGCCCAGGACGCAGAGTGTGATGGAGACATTGACCTTGTCTATGATGAATTCATGTCTCAAGGAGCTGAAAAATCCATCTAAGGCGAACTTAGTTGCAGAATAGGGAGCTACAAACGGGGAACCAATTTTACCTGGAGCAGAGACACAAGGTCAGAGTTTGGGTACTGGGCAGGCACCAGGCTGCACAGCTTGCCCTTCCTCTTGCTCTTCAAGTAGCTACTGTATTGTGATTTAGGATGACTGAGCAATGCCAGGGATGCTTCAGAGAAATAAACAAATGCAGAAAATGCTTAAAATGTCAGATATGGCATACAGTGGCATGACGTACCTTCAGTTGTGGGCAATACTGTCCTTGTATGCCTGCATATATACCCTTGTATACCAAATGCATGTATAATATGTGGCTGTGAACGTAAAATAACCTGCAGTGGTGTACCGTTGACTGCAGTGCATGAAGGTGATTAGTAGGTGTGGAGAGACTAGCAGGACCAGGTTGGACGGGGCTCTGAGCAACCTGACCTAGTCAGCGGTGTCCCTGCTCACTGTGGGGGGGTTGGACTAGATGACCTCTAGGGGTCCCTTCCAACCCCAAACATTCTATGTTTCTATAACAGGGCGTAGAATGTAAATCCCCCAGAGGACTTGAGTTGTGCATCCAGGATATAAATCGTATGCTGATCCCGACTCCCAGCGGGGTGGCTCTCTGCCTTATGGTCCTTATTCTGCCTTCTGAAGAGCCGCAGCAGGGATCCCTTGCAGGCAGAGGGAGGGATGTGGGCAGGGAGAGCCTGGTCCCTTGTGTGCTTACCTGCCATGGAGGAAACCACCACGATGCTGCCCTCGCTCTCCTTCAGCATGGGCAGGGCGGACGTGGTCATGGCCACGTAGCTGAGGAAGTTGGTCTCCAGGAGCTTTCGTACGTGCCCAACGTCCCCATTGAAGTAGTTGAAGTAGCTGTAACCAATGTGATTTAGGATGAGCATATCGAGGCCTCCTGGAAGCAGAGCATGTTTGCTATTAGCAACCGGCATTTAAAACCAGAGCAGCTTCTCGGTGGCTGGAATGGCCCCAAAATGTAGCGTGGGGAGTGAGGAGGGGCAACTCCCCACCACCTACCCCAGGTGTTCTCGGCCTCCTTCACCACCACCTCGGGCAATGTGGTGTCCTCCATGGAGCCACTCACGTAGCGGGCAGATGCGGCACCCAGCTCAAGGCACCGCTCCACAACCTGTGGTGACAGCGACAGTGGTGTTGGTGATGGGCACCCCTCCATGGTCCCCCCCCCGTCCCCATCCCAGGAAGGCTGTCACTGTCTTGGGGCAGATGGGCAGCACATCTCCCTGTCCTACTGGAAACCCTCCTCCCTTCGTGGGAGGAGACGTGTTGCTCAGAGAAATGTTTCTGGCTGCAGAGCAGTTAAACAATGGCACATCTAGCCAAATATATAGTATTTATAAATAGGGATATTGCTTAATATTGATTCTGTTGTATGAGGGATGCAAAACCAGTTTGGACTCTGAGAGAGTGCTGAGGGCTGATCAGACCAGGACTTGGGCAGAGCAATGTTGTCCTTGGTGGTGGAGATCAGAAGTCACAGCTGAAGACTGGGGAGAAAGAAATGCTGTGCTGTCAGCACTGAAAATGCAGTTTGTGGTGGGGGTGTGTGTGTTAGAACAGGCTCATGCCGGGTGGATCCGTAGGGTATCTGGCATCCCCGCGTGCCCGGGCTGGGGTGAATATCTGCCTTCTGCCCGCCTGTGGGGCTCTGGGTTGCAAATGTTTTGCCTGCCCGGCAGGCTCTGCTTGCCATTTACTTTCTGCAGTTTGGCCTCCCTCCGCGCCGTGAGCAGTAGGTGGGCCTCCATGCGTGCCAGGTGATACGCCATCTGCTCCCCGATGCCGCTGCTGGCTCCCGTCACGATCACCCGTTTCCCCCGGAGCATCTCTGGGGAGGAAGGTGCAGGGCTTGGAGCCAGCGCAGCCTCAACCGACCCCCCACCCCCGGCGACA